GAGGATAAATAAAGTTGAATAACATTATTAGGGCTTATTCCGACTTTTGACAAACCAGTGTGTTTATTGTATTTAAAATAGGAAATGTTATATAAATAAGCAGTAAGTACCTATAATTTTATTAAATTTTTATATGAATAGAAATATTTTCTGTTGATTTTCCATTTTCTTTCTAAATATTTATATTGTTTTTATAATAATACAATTGTTTCAATACAAAACCTGAACATTATCGGAGTATAGGGCCTAGAAAATAATAAGCCTCAAACAACAAGGGAAGTGTTTTACGACCAATTACAACAAGTAGTAGATCAAGTCAAAGAAAAGATGATAATTCACAGCTAATTTGATTATAATAATTAAGGAACCTCATTTTTTGCCATGTTAAGGAATGGGATTTGTATTTTTTGTTAAAAAATTTGCACAAACATTGTACCTTTACAGGACCCTCTACGAATTTTCAAAAATGTAGTTCAAATGGTGACTAGGAAGAACCTACAAATCCAAACCGAACAAGCAATTTCAAACTAATAAAATTTTCTATATCTCCGGATCTACTCAATGGATTTTGATCATTTTTATTTTTTTATTTTGTATGATCTATTTTTAATTTGTATGTAATTTCTACGTACATTAGGAATTAGTAATTTGTTTATATATTAATTAATTAATAAATAGTCTAGTTTGTTTAAACAATTCGTGCAAAACAATTTTCTTCCAAAAATCTATTTTTTTTTTAATACTAGTATCAATAATCATAGAAACAGTCGCGTTTTTTGCATTAAATTGTCAATAATTAAAAAACAGCTCCAAATTCAAGGCAAAAAAAGAAGTAGGTTTTCTTCCTAGAGGTCTACAATAACTAAATAAGTTGTCAGCGACCTGGATTATTGAGTGTCACGAACATGGTCTATTTTTTGCTTATTTTCCTGGAGTATATATTTGATTAACATCTGTGTAATTTCTTTGTCGCTTCCTCGCTGGTTTTGCATATTGCTATGATAGCAATATCTTCGGTAAATGTTGCAATTGTATATTTTCTAGGACAATAATATAACACGTATACAAAAGGTGAAGACACTTCTTTATGGCAACCCTGCTGTAATATCTGTCAATTCCATGTATGTTTCTTCCTGTTTAATTCTGAAATATCTTTCCAAGATGGAGGAGTCAATTATTTGAGAGTATCGTTTTGGTAAATGTAGTCTTAGTTTATAGTTATGGCGTCTTTGCCATACTTTATCATATACCTGAGTCACATCCTAAATTATTGATATAAGGTTGAATGCTCGAATAAATGAACTTTAAAAAATGAAGGCAAATTTCGAGCACAAATTTAATAATCAAATCTTGCCCAAGTACTTTCGCTTTCTATGGCATCATCAGGGGCATCTGCGCTTGCTGGATAGACCAAATTTGACGAAGTAAGTCTAAAATGTTAATCACAAAAAACTTTTATCATCCATTAACTTCGAGTTTTTTATCGAAGTTTATTAATTTTCTTCATTTAAAAAAACTTTTCTTGGCTTATTTCAGATTCCCCTGATGATGCTGTAGAAAGCGAAAGTACTTGGGCAAGATTTGATTATTAAATTTGTGCTCGATATTTGCCTTAATTTTTCAACGTACATCCTAAAATGTCAAAATGTCCATCATATTATCCTTCATGATCCATATTTCACATCCATATAAATAGTTATACAGTATATTTCATCATCATCATCATCATCATCAATGGCGCTACAACTCTTCGTAAGTCTTTGCCGCGGTTACTATTGCCTTCCATGTTTGTCGTTCCTGTGCCAGTAATTCCCATTGTCGCACTCCCATTTTCTCTAGATATATGAGTATATTTACATATATTATTATAACATTTACATTTACATTTACATTATTATAATTTTTATTTGAAACACCTTCTGAAGAAACATTAGACATAATTCTATATTTATATAGTTTCATTTTATCAATTTTAATGATCGTGATACTAATTAGATAAGATTTTTATTATAATTTTTATTTGAAACACCTTCTGAAGAAACATTAGATATAATTCTATATTTATATCGTTTCATTTTATCAATTTTAATGATCGTGATACTAATCAAATTTTTATGATATATAATATTAATCTTTTTTTTATAATTTTTATTTTCCGTAAACTTTAATCTACATTAAACTTCAGACAGCCAATTTTTCCGTAAAAAAATAACAAATAAATTATGTATGTACATTTGTTACATTGTAAATTTATGAATAGATTATATTACTTTGATCTGTTATTATATTTACTCAAACTACCACTAAAGAGATTTATGGTCTTATTGTAAGTCAAAACCTGTCACTGCAGGGGTTGTCTCGGTGTATAATCGGCTCGAGTAAAAGGTAAACGCATTTTTGACCTGGGGTTGAAAGAGATCTAAACGAAGTTTAGAATATTACTTCATGAACAGATTTTGTTTTCGTAAAGAAAGAAATTTTTGAAATAGAGATAGCAAACTGAAATTTACCGTTAGAATTTTCGAGGATAAGCCTTAAACAAAAAAGATTTGCTTAGAATACTAGGACTGTTTAAATTTTTTTCAAAATGTTTGCCAAACTTATCTCAATTAACTGCAAATATGAGAAATTTGACACGAAATGATGTAAAATTTCAGTGGAATGACTCTCACCAAAAAGAGTTGGATGCACTTAAGGCACTTATAACTAATAAACCAATTTTAAAACCTTTTGATGACAATAAACCTATATTAATTCAAACAGATTCCTCTAGTAAAGGTATTGGTAGTGTGTTATTGCAAGATAAGCATCCTGTAAGTTTTGCTTCTCGTTCAATGAATAGTTCTGAAATTCGATACGCTCAAATTGAGAAAGAACTTTTTTGCATAGTATTTGCGTGTGAGAAATTTCATTTCTGGATATATGGTCGTGAAATACTTGTTCACACAGACCATAAGCCATTAATTTCAATTTTTAAAAAGAATCTTGATGATGTATCTGCTCGTTTACAAAGAATGTTGTTAAAATTGTTAAAATATAACATTAAAGTTGAATATTTACCGGGGTCAAAAATGTATGTTGCAGATACTTTAAGCAGATCTTTTATAAAAACCGAAACTCCAATTGACAAAGAATTAGAATATACTGTTCATGCTCTTTCTCTGTCAGTACCAATGACAAAAGAAAAAAAGAATAGTTTTCAAAAGGCCATAGAAAATGATCCGGTTTTGACTCAAGTGAAAACTAAAAATCCTCATAAACTTGAACATGATGTAAAATATTACTATAACCTTAAAGAACATATTCATTTGTCAGATAATTTGCTTTTCTTTGATAAAAAATTATTATTCCTGCTCAACTGAGAAAAGAAATGCTGTATCTAATACATGCTGCACATTTTGGTATACAAAAATCAAAACTAAGGGCTAGGGAAATAATGTACTAGCCAAAAATGTCAGAAGACATTGAATTTTATAATTGAAAACTGTGAACCATGTCAGTTGAACAAACCTTTAAATCAAAAAGAAACGCTGATTAATCACAAGAAACCTGAAAGGCCATGGCAGTTTTTATTCTCAGATCTTTTAGATTTTAAGTCAAAAAGTTATCTTTTAATCGTTGATTTGTACTCTCACTGGATAGAGTTATTTCCTGTGAATGACAAAACTGCTAATACGGTTATAAGGTGTTGCAAAGAAACTTTTTCAAAATTTGGTATCCCAGATATATTTTTTGCAGATAATGTTCCTTTTAATAGTTTTTGTATGAAACAATTTGCTCGGGAATGGAATTTTGAATTAGAGTTCTCAAGTCCTGATCACCACCAATCAAACGGTTTTACAGAAAAATATGTTCAGATATGAAAAAATATGCTAAAAAAAATTAGTAACGTAAACGAGCTGCAAAACTATTTGATGGAATACAGAAATACGCCTCTTACATGTATAGATTTCGCTCCCTCTCAATTATTGTTGAACCGTATTGTCAAAACAAAACTGCCAACTTCTTCTGAAAATTTAAAATCTAATATTGTTGATCCACAAGTAGTTTCAGAAAAATTAAAAGCAAATTCACAAAAAATGAAAGATCACTATGATAAAACAGCTAAAAACTTACCTACTCTTCAGAAAGGCGATAATGTGTTATTCCGGAAGAATAATTCATGGCAAAAAGGTAAAGTAGTTGATAGGTATAATGAGAGGTCATATTTGTTAGTTGATACAAAAGGCCAACAATTCAGAAGAAATCGAAAGTTATTAAATAAAACCAACCTGCCAGTTACAGTTTCTGAGTCTTATTTTTCAAATTTATTATATGATGATGCTCCTAGTTCTAGTTTGATGTGCCATGTTGAAAATAATGAGACTGTAAATATGTCATCTGAGATGAAATCTGCTGATGAATTAGAAAACACAGTCATAGAAACACAAAATACCTCAACTGAAACAGCACAGAATGAGGACTCCAAAGTTAATGCTAATTGCTGTGACAATCCTGTTGGTAATAATGAGGAACAGCCGTCCATCTCAGGTAACATACATCAAGTAACTGAGAGTAACATAGAGCTGGTGTTTGAGAGTGACTCAGAAACTGATAAAAATAGTGAAATAAACGAATACCCTTCCGACAGACGTAAAACTAAAAAACCGAATTTTCTTAAGGACTTTTTCTTGTATTAATGTTTTTGTTAAAAAAAAAGCGTGTTGTATATTTAAGAATTAAGTTTTATGTTAAGAGTAGAATCTAAGTTGTATTTTAGACATTACTGTTTGTGTTAGTCTGTATGCAGCTTAAGATCATGAACTTTATTGTGTAGACAGCTTAAGCTGGCAGCTGACAGAGAACAATGATGTCCGCTAGTTAGAGCCCGTAATGTAAGTTATATGTTTAAAAAAAAAGAAAATAAAGTTCTCCAGAATAGTTATTTTTATAATATCCACCACCAACGAAATAAAACACACAACAACTAAACTAATAGTTTGGAAACGTTTAAAACTTACTGTGTAGATGGCTCCAGCCGTTGCAAAAATAAGGCACCTTCTCGTGTCAATATTAGTCAACGGAGCTTTCTCAACAAAGCGTTGCGCTAATACGTCACTACATCCATACAAAAGACCCGTCTGTAGTGATTGCACCAACACTGGGTATGTCTTCAATACTTTTTTATAGGATTTAATAGGATGCTTAAATGCTAAGATGATTCTATAAAATGATTTTCTAGTGCTAAAATTCATGTCACTGTTTTTAAACTTAATGAAATAAATGAATTAAATTATTTGAAGTACTTAAAGTAATACTACAATTCAACAAATAGTTAAATAATTATTCAATATCATGTGTTATGTTAAAAATTTTTGGCCAAGGTCATCAGAATAGATAAAATTTGAAGTTTAAGATTTAATATTTATTATGTTGTTTTTCTTTGTTATTGTTATTATACAGAATGCAATTTGCGTGACAGTACTTACTTCCATTGATCTTATTAAAAGAAGTATTTTAGTATTTATGGAACAATTTATGTATGGACTAGCGGAAAGTATATAAAGATAAAGAATTTAAAAAATATAAAATTGCTAACATTTCCAGTAAAACTTGGTTTTGAATGAATAATTTCCTAATGTTATTTAAAATTCTTATCACAGGTTAAACTAGTTTATGTACGGAGCCAAACTTATACACAAAACAATAAAAGTAGTTGATATAAGGGTGAATGCTCGAATAAATGAACTTTGAATAATTAAGGCAAATATCGAGCACAAATTTAATAATCAAATCTTGCCCAAGTATTTTTGCTCTTTACAGCATCATCAGGGGCATCTGAAATAAGCAAAGAAACGCTTTTTTTAATAAAGAAAATTAATTAACTTCGATAAAAACTCGAAGTTAATGGATGATAAAAGTTTTTTGTGATTAGCGTTTTAGACTTACTTCGTCAAATTTGGGCTATTCAGCAAACGCAGAATGTAACAAACATGAAATTGGACATAAATTGTACATAACACTACATTAAAACAAAGACAAACAGTTTAAAATTATTAAAAATTATTCTACGCTCTACATTCTTGTCGGCAACAGGAGAGATAATGGTATTTAACGGAAATGCTAAGGTGACATGTGACTTATGACAGCTTTGATGGACTGTTACAATCACGGATGTGTAATATGCAAATATTAAAATTCTGTGTAAGTAAGCTGGCATTGACCGAAGGTCCAACTAACACTACTATAGAAATCAGCTTATGAAATATGACATATAGAATATTTTGATTTAACTAAATTGCATAATCCAGATCTCACACTCACACTCACCTGTAATAATAAGGTTGTAAGTTTGAGAACAAATGAAGTGGACATAAAGTGTGAATAAAAGAAATATACTAAACAATCTATTAGACAGTGGGTGGTTGACTACAATAAAATGGTCTACCAGGCACTATCACTACTGTAAAAAAGATAAGAAATCTGACTATGAAATTGAAATACTAAAGAGTGTAATACAATACTATGAAGAGTGTAATTAAGGCCAACTATATATCAAGCTTGGGCAGCATTCGGTAAACTGAACTATATACTCAGAAATCAACAAATTCAATTACATCTTAGATCTAAAGTTTTTGATGCATGCATTATTCCGATATTAACTTATGCGGCACAAACATGGACAATCACATAAAAGAATATGAATATACTTAGAGTCACTCAACACGCGATGGAAAGAGCAATGCTAGGTATATCACTTAAGGACAAGAAAACAAACACATGGATAAGACAGAAAACCAAAGTCACCGATGTGGTGCAAAAATCAATAAAGTTGAAATGGGAATACGCTGGACATGTAGCTAGGAGCGATCTAAACAAATGGCACAGATCAATTTTAACCTGGAGACCATACCAACACAAAAGAGCCAGAGGCATGCCTCCTATGAGATGGACAGATGATCTGAAAAGGACTGCCGGGAAAAATTGGCTACAAGTAGCGTACAAGTAGCGTACTGAGTAGCGTACTGAGTAGGGGCTCTTCTGTACTTCACGGAAGACAGACTGGTCGGGGGATGTCCTCAACCTCGACACGGCACGCCCCATATGGCTGATAGGGAAAGTTCCTGCAGATATGCAGGACAGGTACGAATAAGGCATTGCCAAATAAGTACCCGTGGATCAACTGAGGATATGACATTGGGCAGCAGTAATGTCATTACTGGATTAAGGCTGTGGGAAGTAAAAATCCTGTAGGTTTATTCCAGGTACTCACAGGCGTCACTCACATTATGAGTTAAGCGGCTGTGATACTGCGATGGGGAAGGCAACGGGAAACCACCCCATTATGATCCCTAGTAAAGTTATCATGGAATCAATGAGTGTAACGAATACTACTGATCACGGGCTGCGGAACTCAAGATCCGGCAGGGGAAGGAATACACAATCAAACCACAGGGCTTCCCAGGTCGCTAGCCAGCGAAATCCCTGTGAGGAAAACATCACTAGACATACGATGAAAATGAAGAATCCATACAAAGTGGCTACATGGAATGTAACAACCTTATATGAAGCCGGTAAGTTGAGAAATCTACTCTCTGAAATGGACAGATTAAACATTACTATCATCGGAGCGAGTGAAACAAGATGGCCAAACAAAGGGAATTTCAGTGCAAATGGTTACGCCGTTTATTTTTCTGGAAATCAAGACCATATGCATCGAAATGGAGTAACAATAATTATCAAACAGCATATTAATAAGTATGTCACTAACTTCATCCCAATATCAGACAGAGTAATTTTAATACAGCTGAATGCTAAACCTGTAAATATAAATATCATCCAAGTTTATGCTCCCACTGCTGACGCAGATTAGCAGAATATTGAAGAATTCTACCATCAAATAGAAGAAGTGCTCAAAATAACAAAGAAACACGAAGCAATAATAATTATGGGTGACTTTAACGCTAAAGTTGGACAGAAGATGACGCAGGGCATCACCGGAAAGTTTGGCTTGGGAGAGAGAAATCAAAGAGGTGAACGGCTAATAGAATTCTGCCAAGAAAATGACTTCGCCATTACAAATACCTGGTTTCAACTTCCAGAAAGGCGTCTTTACACGTGGAAATCCCTCAAGATGGACATCAAGGCAGAACAGTACGGAATCAAATAGACTACATCCTAATAAACCACCGATTTCGAAACAATATTAAAGATGTAAAAACTTACCCCGGCGCTGACACAAACTCAAATCACAATTTACTCTGCTCCAAAATACAAATTAAATTGAAGAAATTAACAAAGCCAACTAAGCCTTGCAAGATATATCTCGACCCCCTGAAAAACCCTCAAACGCGCGAACACATAACACAGCAAATAAATAAGAAAATACACAGAATATCAAATATACCAAACGAAAACAGAACCATTAACGAATGCTGGTATGCCATTCAAAACTCGATTTTAGAGAACGTACAAGAGTCTTTAAAAACACCTACCATGTTGGCAAAAAATGAGTGGATGACACAAGAAATTCTAGATCTGATGGAAGTTCGACGGCAACACAAAAATAGAAATATTATCGAATATCGTGAAATTAATAAACGCATAAAAAGAAAAATTAAGCAAGCCAAAGAATCCTGGCTTGAGAATTTATGTAAAGAAATAGAAGACCTCCAAAAAAAGCATGTCAGCTTCAACCTGCATAAGAAACTTAAATATACTGCCGGAATTAGAAAACAGAAAAATGCTCACATACTTAAAAGCGCGGACGGAAAAATTTGTGATCACGAACAACAGTGTAAAGAATGGGAGAGATACATCACTGACCTTTTTGACGATGCTTCTAGGGAAAATGCTCCAAATACTGCCTATGACAACCAGTTGGACAGAGGTCCCAATATACTGAATTCGGAAGTCGAAAAGGCAATACAGCAAGCCAAAAACAATAAAGCACCTGGACCAGAACAAATCCCTGCCGAACTACTTAAACTTTTGGATGAGGAAAGCATTGCCTGCTTAACCACTTTCTTCAACAAAATTTACAACGAAGGAAAAATACCAGATGATTGGTTAGAGTCACTGTTTATAACATTACCAAAGAAAAGCAGGCCCACAAAATGCAGCGATTTTAGACTAATCAGTTTGATGAGTCACACACTGAAGATACTCTTACGAATTATACAAAACCGAGTATTCCTTCTATGCGAAAGTAAGATGGGTGATAAGCAATTTGGATTTAGAAACGGTCTAGGAACTAGAGAGGCACTATTCTGTATGCGCGTTCTATTACAAAAAAGGTGTGAATTCCGAAAGAATGTTTATGTTTGCTTCATCTACTTCGAGAAGGCGTTCGACAGAGTCTAACACAATACACTTTTCGACTGCCTACGGGCAGCAGGACTTGACCACTATGATATAAGACTGCTGAAATACTTATATTACAATCAAGTAGCCTCTATCCAAATTGGAGACAGTCCCACTGAAAAAATACCCATCAAACGTGGAGTACGGCAGGGTTGTGTTTTGTCACCCACTCTTTTTAATCTGTACTCTGAAGAAATCTTTAGGGAGGCTTTAGATGACAGACAAGAGGGAGTAAGACTAGGTGGAGAAGTAATCAACAATATTAGATACGCTGACGATACAGCCATTCTTGCAGAAAGTTTACAAGATCTCCAAACATTACTAAATATAGTCAGTGAAGCAAGTTATCGGAGAGGCCTAAAAATCAACATTTCAAAGACAAAGTGGATGGCAGTTAGAAAGATCCATATAGATCAAGGTCTGCTTTCTCTTAATGGAGAAGAGATAGAAAGGGTAAATTATTTCAAATACCTTGGCAGTTGGTTAAATGTAAATTGTGACTCTGATGAAGAGATAATATCCAGGATCGAAATATCACGTAAGGCTTTTATGACCTGGAAACCAGTTTTATGCAACAGAAACCTGTCAATGAACATTCGTAAGAAGGTCCTGAAATGTTATGTGTGGTCGATCCTATTGTATGGTTGTGAGACATGGACGTTAAAAACCACAATGCTAAACAAGTTAGAAGCATTCGAAATGTGGTGCTATAGACGAATCCTAAAGATATCGTGGGTTTCGCACACTTCCAATGAAGATGTTCTTCAAATGATCAACTCAGAACGTCTGCTCATAAACATCATAAAGAGGAGAAAAACAGAATACTTCGGCCATATAATTAGAGGACCCAAATACCATTTACTTCGCCTTATAATACAAGGAAAAGTGGAAGGAAAGAGATGGATTAGTCGAAAGAAA